AATTGTACTTCACATAAAATCTACATTCGCGTGTTTTCATACTTAGCCGAACTGTATAGCTTTCGCCTTTGATTGTTACATGTTAATATAAGCAATAAAAACCCCATATAGGCAGCTATTTTAACTTGTACCCAATTCTTTAAAAGATTCTAAGAATTAATACTGTTGTGATATTGTTATAATGATGATAATTTCCAGTAAGGAAAACAAATCACAAAAGATTAAATTGTTTTTGGTGAAGGGGCTTCAGTTTCTAGAGTGATGATTACAAGTGTATCATGAACAGCTGCTAAGAGAATTTGAAATGTCATCGACAATAAAAGACTTTACAACATAATAAATACTCTTTTAAAAGGATCTTTAAGAAATCCAAATAATCGTATGATTTTAAACATCTATATAAAATTACCCTTATTCATTTCAAGGACCCTACTATTTTCTAATTAAAAAAAAAGAGGTGTAACACCAGTATGTATGGTATTTCCAATCTGGGTTCATACTACTTCAAACTGCATAACATGCTTTGATAAAAAAAAAGGTACCCATACAATACAAACAAGTTATGAAAAAAATATATACCACAATCGCATGTCTCACCACTAGAAGGTTAAACATTGGTAGGGATCGATTATGCCGGGACAGGGGAATAAATGTTATTAAAATGAAAATCTAGTTGAAAATTTTACCATACCCCTGGAATTTGCTGGCCTAGGGCTGACTGTCTGAGGGGTTCACTGAACTCCTCCATGGTTACCTTTCAGAGTGTTAAAAAAGAAAAGAAAAACAAATGAATAGTAATTCCATGAAATCCAGACATGCAACCACTCATCACAGATTTGATGAGATGTACATTAAAATGCTTCCAGTGGTTCAGATTTCCATCTTCTTCAGCTTTTAGGCACAATCATCTTTACTTTTTTAAAAAAATTAACATGTTTAACAGAGAGTGAACAGAAATAGGAATGCAAATTAAAATGGAATTGGCTGTTTGCTTATTTTAAACTCTTCTAGTTTAAATATTTGGAGAAAAAATAGAAAAGGCATAAATTTAAATGTTTGAGGATTATCTATACATTTCAAATTCTATTAGAGCATGACTTACAATTTGAAATATGCCAGTATAAGTGAAACATTCTAAGTCGTTACTCCTAAACTTTATTTCTTCTATTCATTCCTTTTCAGAGTACCATTGTACTTTTACAGTTTCAGGACACATTTCTCACACTATGGTGCTTTCTGCATAACCCGTTCATGCACGTAGCTCCCTTGTGTTAATGTGTCAAGTTCCAAGTTACAGTCAACCTTGGATGGTTTGATCAAAACCAGAAGCTCTCTGTTCTTCTGTAGACAACGCTGATCTGAGGGCTGGCTCTGCAAATTAGTTGGATGAACTTGGTTCCTCTGTATTTAATTAGAGATTTTCCTGGCTATCTTTAGGGAATGTCTCAGGGGATATTAGCATATAAAAGATTTGGAATTTGAAATCCCAAGATGATTTTATAAATGGTAAGAAAAGTAAAAAGCCAGGTGACTGATTACACACTTCCCCAGCCTGTTCTAATAAAGATATGTAAATCAACAAATTGCTTCATTGCTTATGGAATTAAATCTGGTTTTCAAGGATCATTTAGCCATTGGAGATCCAATTCTGGTTCTTCTCATTTACTTTTCTTCTTGAATATTTTCCTTTTCATTAACAGAAAAAAAGAGAACAAATAGAAAATACAGAGATAACACTCAAATCAATTTTGTAATATTTGATAGCCTTAGTTTAAAATTTTGAAACAAGTGATAACATGGGAGGTTTTAACAATGGAGTGAATTTTCATGATTTGTTCAGCTTTCATCTCTCCTATTGACAGAGAAGTAATGGCTGTTTTTACCTGTGCATGTTTTAAGAAGGCATTGTGTAACACACACAAAAAGGAGAACACAGAAGCCACAGGGGAAGATGAGAGAGCAACCTCAAAGGAGTAGACTTGAACCTTCACACTAAAGGGAGGATTACTTGGAGTAACACAGGAGGCATCTGATTTCTATTTCTGCAACTTGTGGAACAAAGTGAAAATTCAGCTGAAAGCAAAACTCAAGTTTTTGCAAAACATTTCAGCATTCAATTACTCTTAAACTCTAATGAAGATGATACTAATGGATTGCTGCCTTGACGAATTCTCCAAGTGTCCAATTTCCCTCTTGTTAAGGAAAATAAAACAAAGATTCAGAGAACCTAAGTAGTACACTCCCACCACTCAAAACAGGAACTCTGCTAACATCTTTTGTTACCTTTTTCTGTACATGCCTTAGTACAGAAAAACCCACCCAAGACTCCCCTCAAAACCTCCCCTCAAAAAAAGACTCCCCTCATTGCATGGCCCAGACTTTGGTGCCAGGAAAACTATTTTAATCCCAACTTGGTAAACTACTCTTTCATCACTAGGGAAAAAAACCCTTTGCCTTTCTAGGGGCAAATATCTCTTGTGATTCTTTTAAAGATTAAATGAGGCTAGGCGCCAGGGGTTCATGTCGGTAATCCTAGCTACACTAGAGGAAGATCAGGATGATGATAGTGATTCCAAACTAGCCTGGACAAAAAAAAAAAAAAGTTTGCAAGACCTCATCTCAAGATAAAAAGCTGGATGGTGTAACTACTATGGGAAGTATGAATAGGAGGTCCAAGCCAGCCCAGGCAAGTAAGACCCTATCTAAAAACTATCCAGAACAAATAGGGTCAGGGGTATGGCTCAAATGGTGGAACACCTGCTAAACCAGCATGGAGCTCTGAATTCAAACTGCAGTATAATATCACCAGTATGTCAAAAAAATAAAATAAAACAAAACAAATATGGAGATCATGTAGAAAGAGACCCTTGCCAACTATCTGATAAAACTATTTAATTGTTCCTCTTACTGCTAAAATTACCTTCTCAGATGACCATCAGCTCCACTGGCTTTCCAAACAGGCTAACAAACAAAACCCTAGCAATCTTCTACTTAGTATAGGTTCCTGTATAAAGGTTGAGCAAAATTATTTTTATGTTACTTTAAATTATTACATTTTATAAAAATCATTCACACATATCTTTAACTTCTAGCACATGTCCATAAAGTGAGCAACACAATACACACACACACACACACACACACACACACACACACACACACACACAAGCTTTAACTGCTTGACTGAAAACTCTGGGGGATAAATGAGATCAATGATCAATTCCTCAAAATAACTGGAGGAATCACATGATAAATGATCTAAAATGTTCCTCAGAAAAGTGTGAAAACACACACAACAGTTATTTTCTCTCCTTATTTAAATCTAATGTCTTTTTTTCTTTTTTTTTTTAGAAACAGTCTCAGGAGGGCCTTGAACTTGCAATCCTCCTGTCTCGGCCTCCTGAACATTGGGATTATAGAGGGGCACTACCACACCAAGCTCTAGGCCTGATGTGTTATTTAATGCTAATGGAATATGAGAAGCTAGAAAAAATTTGGAGGCTCAGTCCAATCCTGTATAGACTCAAGGCCACTCAGGTGCTAGCCCTAGCTTGGCCTCCTCCCTTCCAACCACTTGAGGTCACTCTACTCCCCTGAATCTACATACAAAATCTTTGCAGAAGAATGAGAGGCAAAGAGTTTGCCAAGAATGATTCTAGAATTCTATAGTAGGCTCGCAGTCTGAGTAAATCAATGCCCCTAATAAAATACCAAACACTGTAGCAGAAGATTGAAAGCTAAGTTTACAAGGTCAAATAGGTTAGTTTCAAAACCCAAAGTAGTAATTTCATATCTCAGTAAAATTAGAAAAAACTCATCATTTCAAATGGACTTTTCAGATGAAGGACTAAAGAAGGAAATAGAATGCTAAGATTAATTGACTCTCATGAAGATTTTCTAATAAATTACTCTTTGATCAAAAGTTAGTTGGCATACCACTGCTAATTTTTGACTATAATGAATGAAGAATATACACATTTGGGTTAAAATATATATCACAGATTAAATATACATTCAACAATATTTGAATGGCTATTTCTTAATTTTTTTCTATATACTTGTTAGCCACCAACAAAAGTGGTTTTTTTTTCCTGGAAAAATAATATATTCGGATGAGCAGAGCTTAAACATGTAAAATTTCACTATGCTTATATCAATTGAGATAAAAATGAATATTTATCTGAATATTCATTTATGAGTATGGAATACTACAACTAAATTGTTGATGGATCTAGTAAATATGGAACATATGCATGTTTGAATGTGCTTATAATAAAGCATGTTGTCCTATTGTATCAATGTACATTTGGCATGACATTAGAAATAGACCAGCATCTGTGTTACATTACAGCACACAAGAGTTCCAGAGAACCGTTTTCACTTGGGGGTTAGCTTCTACTCATTTACTTGATCTTCTACAGAGAACAGGATGTAAAATTATTCCAATATGTATCTACCCCATGAAACATTTGCTAGTGAAAGAGGTTTGTTCTGTGTTTTGTTAGCACAAATCATAGTGAGCAGGTCTAAAGAACTTTCTCTTCCTCTGGGGGTGGGGCTGCCTCTGGAAACACTCAGCCATCTTTAGTACTTTTCTGTGTATGTTTATATATGTATAGGTATGTTTTTCCACTTAAAAATGTTTATTGATTCCTTTGAAAGAGTATCATAGGCTATTGTTGTACATTTGGAATAGATTGAAGAAAACATAAAACAGAGAGACCATTTAACTCCAGCAATAAAGATAACTACTCTTCACATTTTTGGTGTTTCTACTTTCTTGTTTCTATGAATTTCTTTATAATAGTATGGGTAAAGTCAGAATACTATAAATAGGATTTACGACTTGATACATACATATCTGATACAAGTGGCATTTCCTTTCTGTGAGGATGAATTTTAGTACGATATGAAACTGCAAAGAACCTACTACACTGTTGCAGTCACACTAGAGTCAAAACGGTGAGAATGAATGAAGAGCAAGTTTGCCGTCTTCCTACCTCATCATCATCAGCATCATATTGGGCATAGTGCTGCTCAAGCAGCTCTCTCTGGCGCCTCTCTTGTTCCAGCGTCTGGCTTATCAACTGGGCAACCTCGCTCACTTGTCCTGGTTTTTCCCGTCCAATGACAAATCTGTGGAAATAGTTAATGAAGACTAATATAGTGAGGACTCTCCAGCAAGAAGGAGTGTTGAAAAAAGTGGCCAAGAACCAGATCAAAATGTAGCATGGCTCTGGTATTTGAGCCCAAGTCCCTTTGGGAAAGGAAAGGTTCCCTGAGCAATGACATTACAGACACAGATCACAAAGGACAAGCACAGGATCAAGGAAAAGACCATTAAAAAATGAACACTTTAGAAGAAGCCATCATGGATATAGTCCATTCAGTAGTAGTTTACACATTTGGATGTTTTTGGGGGAAAAAAGTTAGCCAACATACAAGTTTCTGTATTTAAATTGTACTAAATAAATTTCCAGAATTTAAGAATCATTTCCACAACAATGTCCATCTTAGTGAACATAAAAACTGTCTCAAAAACATTTCAAGGTAGAACATGAAGTGATTATCAGAGGTATAAACTGATATATTTTTCCCTAAATTACAAAAACTTTGGAATTATAACCACATAAGCAGAAAAAGCCAGAAGTGGCGCTGTGGCTCAAGTGGTAGAGTGCTAGTCTTGAGCTGAAGAGATGAGGGACAGTGTCCAGGCCCAGAGTTCAGGCCTCACAACTGACCATAAAAAAAAAGAATACAAAATAGAGATAGTATTTTGTTTTGTTTTTAAAAAGAAAAACTAAAATAGTAAGTGTAAATTAATCACTTCAATGGGAGAAAATATGAGCAGCTCAAGAAGTATCTGTGGATATTAACTCCTCAAAGAAAACAATCCTAAAAATATACTTATTGCATGTCATATCACTTATCAACACTGGGTATCCTCAAGAAATTAATATTCACTTAATTTCTTCACATTAATATATGGTTCTATTTTTAAAACACTAATAATATGTCTCTAGGATGCACTTAACTCTTAATTTTATTATTTTGAAAGTTATGTAGTATAACCTTGTTTTTATAATTTACTGGCACTTTCCTTTCATTTAAATTTAATATTTAATACTTAATTTGTATTTATTTAATGTTCATTTTAATATGTTGCTTACTTATGAGATGTAGATCACCATTTTGCACAAATATAATGAAGCACTAAATGCTTATACTCAGATATTCACAGTTGTGTGTGTGTAGAAATACTTCCATGTAGGATTTAATTTTTTTCTCTTATTTTTTTCTTAAAGTGCTAACATTTTATTTTTATATCATGTCTCTAACTTTAAATTAATTTCATGTATTATGTGGTTAGCATGAGGTTTATTTTTCCAAAATAAATCAACAGTTGTTTCAACACCAATTGTTAAAAGATTGTTCATTGCAATAACTGAATTACATGAATACATTTGTTGAATATTAGTTGACCACGTATGTCTTGACTGATTTCTGACTTCACTGGTGTGTTTATACTTTTGCTAACAACATAGTTTTTTGTTTGGGTTGTTTTGTTTTATTTACTTATTTTGGGCCCTGGGGCTTGAACTCAAGCCTGGATACTGTTCCTTAGAGTCTTCTGCTGAAGGCGAGCACTCTACCACTTGAGGTACAACTCCACTTTGGGATTTTTCAGTAGCTTCATAGAGTTAAGCGTCTCACACACTTTCCTGCCCAGGCTGGCTTCAAACCCTGATCTTCAGATCTCATTCTTGTAAGTAGTTAGGATTACAAGCTTGAGCCACTGACACCTGAAAGTTTCTCATTTACTATATAGTAAGTCATAAAAAAAGGTATGAGTCCTTTAACCTTATGTGTCATTTCCTCTGCATTTCCATATAAATTTTATAGTAAGTTTGCCAATTCCCAAAAGCTCAATGAGCCTTGCTTGCAATTGCTTTGAATCTACAGATCATTTTGTGTTGTGTATGTGCTAGTCCTGGTGCTTGAACTCAGGGATTGGGTTCTGTCTCTGAGCTTTTTCTGTTCAAGGATAGTGCACTACCACTCTAGCCACTTCCAGCTCCACTTCCAGCTTTTATTTTATTTTATTTTGTTAAGGTGATGTACAGAGGGGTTACAGTTATGTAAGGTAATGAGTACATTTCTTGTTACCCTTCCCCTCATTTTTCTCCCTCTTTTCCTTCCCTGTAATCCACCGTCCCCCCCGAGATGCACAGATAATTTCCAACAAATTTTCTTGGTAGTATTGCTGTTGCATAGATTTTTTTCCCCCTCTGTCCTTTGTCTCACCATTTTGTTGTTCCCCTTCCCTTCCCTAGTTCAGATAAATGTATATACAATAACCAGGGTACCAAAATCCAATGCAGTGACAAGAGGGAATAAACCAAAGGGGGGGGACACAAAAGAAAAAAAGAAATCATTGTGTATATATACCACATTTTCTTGATCCATTTACTGAGGGGCATCTGGGTTGGTTCCATATCTTAGCTATGATAAATAATGCTGCAATAAACATAGTTGTGCTGGTAGCTTTAGTATGATTTTGTTTGTGATCATTCTAGTAAATACCCAAAATTGTGATTGTTGGGTCATAGGGGAGCTCTATGTGGAGTCTTTTGAGGAACCTCCATACTACTTTCCAAAGTGGTTGAACAAGTTTACACTCCCACCAATAATGACATTGCACCATTTGTTAGGAAATTGAAAGAATTGAAAAAAATTATATTAAGGGAAGTAAGCCAGGCCCATAGAAACATAGGTCCCATGGTTTTCCTTATTTGCAATAACTAGAATATGTCTGAGACAAGCAGAAAAGGTCAGATAAGTAGATGTTAGACTTAAATGGTTTTTCTTTCTTGCTATTGTTTCTAACATATTTATAAGGTGATTTTTTTTTGTTGCTTTGTATGTCCCTCCTCCACAGTACAACCCCTGTTTTCACTGTATTTGATGTTGGTATAATTTGGGGAGGGGAAAGGAAATAACAAATTGTTTAAATAGGTAGACCCATTGCAACAATGAAATATACAAGATGCTATATTGAAAAATGAACTTTACAACTTTGGTGGGGAGGGGGAGTGTTAGATGGGAGGGCAGGGATGGTAAGGGGAAACAAAGGAGGAAGCAACAACGCTTGATAAGAAAAAAAAAGAAATCACTCAGTACACTGAGAACAACAACAACAAAGAAACATCTCTTGTGTCCATGTCTTGGAGTTCATTTCACTTAGCATCATCTTATATGGTCATATGTACATAGCTATTGAGCTATTTTTCTTTTTTGTATGTTTTTTATTATGAAAATACTGTACCGAGGGGTTACAGTTACATGAGCAAGGCAATGAGCACATTTCCTGTCGAGCATTGTTGCTTCCTCCTTTGTTTTCCCTCCACCATGTTGCTTCCCTCCTTTGTTTTCCTCCTACCACCCCTTCCCTCCCACCTCCACAACTACCCTTCCTTCCCACCTTCCTCACCACTGAAGTTGTAAAGTTTGTTTTCAACATAGTGTCTTGTACATCTCATTGTTACAATGGGTCAACCTGCATCCCTATTTAAGCATTTTGTTTTTTCCCTTCACCTCCCCAAATTAGAGAAGTGTATATATAAGACGCAGGGCACCTACATTAAATACAGTGAAAACAGGGGTTATACTGTGGGAGAGGAATATACAAAGCAACAAAAAATCATATGGTACATTATAGATACGTTAGAAACAATATCAAGAAAGAAAAGATATTTGTATCCCTATCTCAGGGTTCATTTTGCTTATGTGGTCATATGTACATAGCTTTTGACCTTTTCTGTTTGTCTTAGACATGTACTAGTTATTGCAAATAAGGGAAACCATGGGACTTATGTTTCTTTGGGCCTGGCTTACTTAATATAATTCTTTCCAAGTCTTTCCATTTCCTAACAAATGGGGCAATGCCATTCTTTCAGATGGAGGCATAGAATTCTATTTATATTTTTCATAGTTAATTGGAGATAAGAATCTCAAGGACTTCCCTGCCAGGGCTGGCTTTGAACCAGGATCCTCAGATCACAGCCTCCTAAGTAGCTAGAATGAATCGGGTGAACCACTAACCATTAGGCTATGGATAATTTTTAAGAGAAGTGACAGCTAGACAATATTACTCATCTGATCCAAGAATACAGTATATCTGTCTTTATTTGGATTTTTGTGTTCACAGAATATTACATTGTAATGTCCAGTATACTAGAGGAACAGCTTATTTGTTATGCTTAAGTATTTCATCTTTTCTGGAGTAGTTGTAACTTGTTTTAATTTTTAAATTCTAGTGATTTGTTGCTAGAATACTAAAACTCAGCTTTGAATACCAGCCTTATTTTCTGCAACCTTGCTAAACTCATTCTCTAGTCTTTTTTTTTTTTGGCAGTTGTATGACTTGAACTCTGGGCCTGGGCGCTGTCCCTCAGTTCTTCAGCTCAAGGCTAGTGCTCTACCACTTGAGCCACAGTGTCACTTCCGCTTTTCTGGTAGTTTATTGGAGATAAGAGTCTCACAGAGTTTCCTGCCCTGGCTGGCTTTGAACTGCAATCCTCAGATCTCAGTGCCTGACTTCACTCTCTAGTCTTATAGAAAATTAGTTTACTTATTTATTTAGTAGCTCTTTAGGATTTTATGGTCACATCTATGATGAAGGAAGACAATTCTTTTTCTCTATTTGGCATCTATTATTTATTTGTTTCTTTGTCTATTGACTGACTTACTGTGCTGTCTTAAGACATCCAAAATATGTTCAAAAGAATGTGTATGAAGAGACATCCTTGCAATCACTACCATTCTAAAATATGAGCCTTGGGTTGTCTTAAAAATACATAGGAAGGGGCTGGGAAAGTGGCTCAGTGGTAGAGTGCTTGCCTTGCATGCATGAGGCCCTGGGTTCGATTCCTCAGCACCACATAAGCAGAAAAAGCCGGAAGTGGCACTATGGCTCAAGTGGTAGAGCGCTAGCCTTGAGCTGAAGAGCCAAGGGACAGCGCCCAGGCCCAGAGTTCAGGCCCCCACAACCGGCAAAAAAAAAAACCAAAAAACCAAAAATACACAGGAAGATTTCATCTAGAGATACTATTGTTTCTATAATTGAACTACAAAGT